CAACCTCGTGATCCACCCGCCTCGGCCTCCCAAAGTGCTGGGATTACAACAAATGATTCTTAAGTACATAAAAAGTTGCTCTTCCAGCCAGGAGCCAGTGGCTCCAGCCTGTAATCCCAGCACTTTGGGAGGCCAAGGCGGGTGGATCACCTGAAGTCAGCAGTTTGAGACCAGTCTGGCCAACACTGTGAACTCCATCTCTACTAAAAACAATTAAAAAATTAACCAGGTGTGGTGGTGCACACCTGTAATGACAGGTATTTGGGAAGCTGAGGCAGGAGAATTGCTTGAACCCGGGAGGCACAGGTTGGAGTGAGCCGAGATAGTGCCACTGCACTCCAGCCTGGGCAACAAGAGTGGAACTCCGTCTCAAACAAAAAAAAAAAGTTGCTCTTCCTCATTGATAATAAAACAGGTACTCAAGATCCCATGTTTCTTCCATCAGACTCAGAGTCAACAGTCTGACAGCACCATGCATTATTATCCATGGTGAGAAAACAGAGCGCTCAGACTCTGGGAGGGAGAGAACCCTTTGGAAGGCAAAAAACGGACTACATATGTAAATTACATGCCTTTTGACCTCACCATTCATTTTGGGGTATTTCTCCTACAGATTTACTCACATACGGGAAATATTACATCTGTGTCTGGTTATTCATTAAAGTGCCTTTTAAATATCAAGACAAGCAAGATGTTAAGTAAAAAATGCTGACCACCAGTAGAGAGACAGTCAAGAAAATTGCTGTAGCTGGGCGCAGTGGCTCACACCTGTAATCCCAGCATTTCGGGAGGCCGAGCAGTGATCACCTGAGGTCAGGAGTTCAAGACCAGCCTGACTAAAATGGCAAAATCCCATAACTACTCAAAATACAAAAATTAACTGGGCCTGATGGTGAGCCCCTGTAATCCCAGCTGCTCAGGAGGCTGAGGCAGGAGAATCGCTTGAACCCAGGAGGTGGAGGTTGCAGTGAGCCAGGACTGGGTCACTGCACTCCAGCCTGGGCAAAAGATTGAGACTGTCTCAAAACAAATAAATAAATACCCTGCAGAGCGCATGGCCTAGCCCACATGAAATGAATCAAAGTCTGCACTTTCACAAGACACCCAGGCGGCTCTTGGGCACACGCCTATGTCAGAGTTCAGCCAGGCCTTTACTTTAGGAAAAGAGTTACCATCAGACTCCTTTAGAGCATTTCATTTTTAACTTTTGGGAGTCAAAGCCCCCTTTAAGAATCTCATGTGAATCATGAAAGCTCTCTAAGGTAGCCAGTGTCAGAAAGGCGAGATGAACTGGTAGGCGCTAACTGAATCCCCCAACCCACAACTCCTGTGTGAAGCCTGACCTAGCTGGGACCTCAGAAGGTGACTGTATTTGGACAGGGCCTTTACAGAGGTCAAACAGAAGTCACTGGGGTAGCCCTGACCCAACTGCACTGGTGTCCTTATAGGAACAGGAGACGAAGACGCAGACACACAAGGGGAAGCCTCTGTGAGGACACAGGGAGAAGACGCCACCGGCGAGCCAGAGGGAGGGGCCTCGGAGGAACCAGCCTCCCTGCCACCCCTTGATCTTGGTCTTCCAGCCTCGACAACTGTGAGAAAACTGTTATTTCAGGCCGCCAGTCTGTGGTATCTTGTTAGTCCGAGCATACTAAGACAACTACCATCTTCCTTCAACACGGAGAGGTGAAAACCTGTCAGTCCCTCCTTCCCACAGTTTGTCCCAGAAACCCAAAGTCAAGACCAACCTACCAGAAAGCCCCTGCCACCTGCAGAGATTCCTGTGGAGGGCCTGGGGCAGGACATCTCAAGGCCACCTTGAGGCATTCACCCTGAATCCTGAAAACACTTCCCATCTTCTATATTCTGGGTCCTAAATGACTTACTCACGTTTTGGCTATCTTAGTGAGAAGACGCTGTTCACAGGCCTTTCTTTTTTTTTTTTTTTTTTTTTTTTTTTTGAGACGGAGTTTCGCTCTTCTTACCCAGGCTGGAGTGCAATGGTGCGATCTCGGCTCACCGCAACCTCCGCCTCCTGGGTGCAGGCAATTCTCCTGCCTCAGCCTCCTGAGTAGCTGGGATTACAGGCACGAGCCACCATGCCCAGCTAATTTTTTTTTAGTATTTTTAGTAGAGACGGGGTTTCACCATGTTGACCAGGATGGTCTCGATCTCTCGACCTTGTGATCCACCCGCCTCGGCCTCCCAAAGTGCTGGGATTACAAGCTTGAGCCACCGCGCCCGGCCTATTCACAGGCCTTTCAACGTAAAGACGACGCGCTCCACAGCAGTCAAGTGGAAGCTGCCATTTCTCATCAGTTATAACTCGGACACGCAGGGATATGCATTTAAAAGCCATTTTCCTACTGAGAAACCATCACTGCCTAAGGGAAGGGAGCCAGAAGGTGGGTGAGGAGGGAGACTATCGCATACTCTTTGTTTTAATTTTGTCGTTTTCAGTTTTTTGTTTTTGTTTTTTTTTTTGAGACGGAGTTTCGCTCTTGTTACCCAGGCTGGAGTGCAATGGCGCGATCTCGGCTCACTGCAACCTCCGCCTCCCGGGTTCAGGCAATTCTCCTGCCTCAGCCTCCTGAGTAGCTGGGATTACAGGCACGCGCCACCATGCCCAGCTAATTTTTTTGTATTTTTAGTAGAGACGGGGTTTCACCATGTTGACCAGGATGGTCTTGATCTCTCGACCTCGTGATCCACCCGCCTCGGCCTCCCAAAGTGCTGGGATTACAGGTTTGAGCCACCGCACCCGGCCCTGTTTTCAGTTTTTAAACCATTCTCAAAAAAACCTGCCTGTACACAAAACACAAAAACATATCGTAAATCATAAATACATAAACATATATAGTAAAACCCATATACACAAACACACATACATAGAAACGATGCAGCGTTTCAGGGCTTTCTTTTTATCCTGACTGGAAGAGAGGACAGACCGGGCATTCACTGCTTTTGATACCACCTAGAATTTGGCTTTTTTTCTTTTTTGGGACAGAGTTTCACTCTTGTCACTCAGACTGGAGCACATGGGGCGATCTTGGCTCACTGCAACCTCCGCCTCCTGGGTTTGGGTGATTCTCCTGCCTCAGCCTCCCGAGTAGCTGGAACTACAGGGATGCACCACCATGTCTGGCTAATTTTCTATTTTTAGTAGAGATAGGGTTTCGCCATGTTGGCCAGACTGGTCTCGAATTCCTGACCTCAGGTGATCCACCCACCTCGTCCTCCCAAGTGCAAGGAGTACAGGCGTGAGCCACCATGCCCAGCTGAATTTGGTTTTTTACTCTTCCCTTTGAAAGTAAGATGAGGCTGGAAGCGGTGGGTCACACCTGTAATCCCAGCATTTTGGGAGGCTGAGGCAGGCGGATCATGGAGGTCAAGAGTTCGAGACCAGCCTGGCTAACATGGTGAAACCCTATCTCGACTAAAAAAAATGCAAAAATTAGCCAGGCATGGTGGTGTGCACCTATAGTCCCAGCTACTCGAGAGGCTGAGGTGAGAAAAATCACCTGAACCCAGGAGGTGGAGGCTGCAGTGAACCAAGATCACAACACTGCACTCCCGCCTTGGTGACAGAGTGAGATCCTTCTCAAAAAAAAAAGAAAGAAAGAAAAGAAGATGAAATAAAAATCTGAAAGACTTAGCTGAACCCAGTATGAGTGTGTGAGCCAGCTACAAACAGATATTCCTTAACCTCAGGAGTTCAAACATTGCAACTGACTATCAGGGAGCAATTACACCATGCACACAGCTTCAGCGAGGTGAAAATGAAGCGCCCAGGACTGATTCTGCTCCGTGTGTGTTTATATCAAGGTTACAGAATAGTCAGAATGATTCTAGCCCTAACTCTATTAAGGGAATAGGAGACTGTCAGAGGCGACAAAAATGTCAATCTGCCCAGCGCCGTGTACCACAATGTCCCCTGCCTCCTCTCACAGGGACATGCTGGTAGTGAGAAAAGGCCAAGGCCTGGGAGAGAGTCACAGAACAGCAAGGTTCCCTCCCTTTCAGAAAGTGATGGAGAACACTTTGAAGAGGAATAGGGAGCAGGGCAAGGTGGCTCACACCTGTAATCCCAACATTTTGGGAGGCCAAGGCGGGTGGATCACCTGAGGTCAGGAGTTCAAGACCAGCCTGGCCAACATGGTGAGACCCCGTCTCTATTAAAAATAGAAAAAATTAGCCAGATGTGGTGGCATGCACCCATAATTCCAGCTACTTGGGAGATAAGGCAGGAGAATTGCTTCAGCTGAGATGGCACCACTGCACTCCAGCCTGGGCCACAGAGTGAGACTCTATCACAAAAAAAGAAAAAAAGGGCAGGCAGAAAAATCTTTCCAGACTTTGCTTGGCAAGAGGGCAAAGCGCAGCAGTATCTCTGTTCTTGCCAGAGTGACTGGCCTCTCCAACCACGCGGATCCACTCCCCACCCACTCTTCAGATACTCAGAAATACATGCAGTAGCTGGGCGCGGTGGCTCACGCCTGTAATCCTAGCACTCTGGGAGGCTGAGGTGGGTGGATCACCTGAGGTTAGGAGTTCAAGAAATAGATGCAGTAAACCCACCTCGCTTAATACCGTGGTACAGACCCCTCGACGCACCCCAAATCCCTAACCCTCTCCCAGAGCACGCGCACTGCCTTGTTCCCGCTCATCACTAGGACAGAGGGCCGCTCTGGACAGCAGGGGCAGCAACGCTGCAAGCAGAGGGACCAGACACAGGGCGCGGCTCTGCCTTCCGACCCCACTGACTGGAGGTACCTAACTCCTCACCACCCAATGTGAGCTAGAACAGCACCCCTGCACCCTCCCGGAGCTGCTGTGAGGATCGGATCAGCTAACACACATACAGCGCTGAAAGCTGTGTCTGGCACCAGCTGTGGCTCTGCATCAACCACTTATCACCGCGGTACGGTCACTACTGCTACAGGCATGCAATTACAAGGTGTGCATTCGACATAGTTATAATCAACGTTAGCATCTCATACCTGACACTCAGACACTGCCATGGTTTTGTACGGAAAAGAATCAGACGCTTACTGTCATCAGTTAAAGCAAAATAGCTGCCAGACTTGGAGAAGGTGGACGCCAGAATCACACTGCTCCCCTGGACCAAGGGCGCATCCTCCCTGAGGAAGAGAGGAAGAAGACGGTTAAGCGTCATCTAAGGAAATGAGGCTGCATTCCTTGAAGGCCAGTGTGGAAATTGCTAACATGGGAAGAGGTAGAAATTGTTAAGAGGCTCACGTAGCAAAAATACAGACATATTAAAGGGACATGGGAGGCTCAGGCAGGAGAATCCCTTGAACCCAGGAGGTGGAGGTTGCAGCGAGTCAAGACTGAGCCACTGCCCTCCAGCCTGGGTGACAGAGTGAGACTCTTGGCTCACTGCCACCTCTGCCTCCCAGGTTCAAGCGATTCTCCTGCCTCACTGCAACCTCTGCCTCCCAGATTCAAACAATTCTCCTGCCTCAGCCTCCCAAGTAGCTGAGATTACAGGTGGGCCTGCCACCACGCCCAGCCAATTTCTTGTATTTTTAGTAGAGACAGGCTTTTGCCATGTTGGCCAGGATGGTCTGGAACTTCTGACCTCAGGTGATCTGCCTGCCTCGGCCTCCCAAAGTGCTGGGATGATAGGCATAAGCCACCATTAAGAGTACAGCCGGCCAGCGCGGTGCTCACACCTGTCATCCCAGCACTTTGGGAGGCTGACGTGGGTGGATCACTTGAGGCCAGGAGTTCGAGACCAGCTTGGCCAACATGGTGAAACCCTGTCTCTCTCTTAAAAAAAAAGAGTACAAAGGCCGGGCGCGGTGGCTCAAGCCTGTAATCCCAGCACTTTCGGAGGCCGAGGCGGGTGGATCACGAGGTCAAGAGATTGAGACCATCCTGGTCAACATGGTGAAACCCCATCACTACTAAAAATACAAAAATTAGCTGGGCATGGTGGCGCGTGCCTGTAATCCCAGCTACTCAGGAGGCTGAGGCAGGAGAATTGCCTTAACCCAGGAGGCGGAGGTTGCAGTGAGCCGAGATCGTGCCATTGCACTCTAGCCTGGGTAGCAAGAGCGAAACTCCGTCTCAGAAAAAAAAAAAAAAAAAAAAAAAAGAGTACAGCCAACACCGTACTCTTAATTCTAATTTGAAAGTTACTTTTACATGTCCTTCCTGGCGTGGTACTTATCTGCACCGCTGTGTGATAGAAGCTAAGAATTCACCAAGCAAGACAACAATTGCTTCTTAGACCCTCTGGTCCCATTATCAAACCATTAAATCAGGCCCTGAAAAAGCTTTCCCACATCTCACCCTTTATTTTCTTGTGCCTTCTTTTCTGCAGCACTGCAGTCATAGATGAAGAGGCTGTCATCATCACTAAAGATAAATAATAGAATGATTTTAAAAGGAGTCATCATTAAAGAGAAATAACAATGATTTTTTTAAATTTAGAACAATCTTTTATTCACAGTACTCTTAAACTTTAAGTTCTCGGGTACATGTGCAGAACATGCAGGTTTGTTACATAGGTGTACACATGCCACGGTGGTTTGCTGTCTCCATCAACCTGTCATCTACATTAGGTACTTCTCTCCTAATGCTATCCCTCCCCTAGTCCCCACTCCCCAACAATTTTTTTTTATAATTTTTTTTTTTTTTGAGACAGAGTCTCACTCTGTCACCCAGGCTGGAGTGCAATGGTGCAATCTCAGCTCACTGAAACCTCCACTTCCCAGGCTCAAGTGACTCTCCTGCCTCAGCCTCCCGAGTAGCTGGGATTACAGCTGCCCACCACCATGCCCAGCTAATTTTTTGTATTTTTAGTAGAGATGGGGTTTCACTATGTTGGCCAGGCTGATCTTGACCTCCTGACCTCAGGCGATCCACCCGCCTCCATTTCCCAAAGTGCTGGGATTATAGGCATCAGCCACTGTGCCCAGCAACAATGATTTTTAGAGAACGTTAAAAAAAAAGAAGGCCGGGCGCGGTGGCTCAAGCCTGTAATCCCAGCACTTTGGGAGGCCGAGGCGGGTGGATCACGAGGTTGAGAGATTGAGACCATCCTGGTCAACATGGTGAAACCCCGTCTCTACTAAAAATACAAAAAATTAGCTGGGCATGGTGGCTCATGCCTGTAATCCCAGCTACTCAGGAGGCTGAGGCAGGAGAATTGCCTGAACCCAGGAGGCGGAGGTTGTGGTGAGCCGAGATCGCGCCATTGCACTCCAGCCTGGGTAACAAGAGCGAAACTCTGTCTCAAAAAAAAAAAAAAAAAGAAATTTTTTTTTTCTCTGTAGAACAAAAAATATTTGCATACTCATTAAAGGTCTTATCCATGACAAGAAAACTGTCTAGATATAATATTTCAGGGAACAGTTAACAAACTTTATTAGCTGAATCTCTTATTGGAGTATATCATATACAACCCGAATAGTTCTGTGGGAAAAAATTTCAGGCCAGGCGGGTTGCTCATTCCTGTCATCCCAGCACTTTGGGAGACTGAGGCGGGTGGCTCACAAGGTCAAGAGTTCAAGACCAGCCTGACCAAGATGGTGAAACTCTGTCTCTACTAAAAATACAAAAATTAGCCAGGCACAGTGGTGGGTGCCTGTAGTCACAGGTACTCAGGAGACTGAGGCAGGAAAATCACTTGAACCGGGGTGGCAGTGGTTGCAGTGAGCCAAGATCCTGCCACTGCACTCCAGCCTGGGAGACAGAGTGAGACTGTCTCAGAAAAAAAAAAAAAAAGTTCAGTAAAACAAATGAGGGGCAAACACTCAACAGGAATTAATAATGCTATTCTTATGCTATTCTTTCAGGCCCCAGAAAATCTATGTGATGTTCTGATGGTGTTGAGTTTTCAATGGGATTCTCTATACAAATTTCAAAGAGCCATTACCTATTCAGAAACACATCTCACCTACCTGAAAATGTTCCCATGACCCCAAGCACTTACCAACATAACAATCACCCATTTTCCACACTGAACCTAAACTCTCTCTTCAGTTTATCCCATCCCCTACCCGTGGCACGCAGCTTATACTTATTTATAGCCTTTAAAGTGCACCAAAAAAACTTTCCATATGGAAGAGTGGACTTGTCTTCCAAGTCGGAAACTGCACTAGCCGCTAGAATTTCCTCAAAACGGGTAAACTGAAGGTAAGCAGATCACGTCGAACGCATCCACAGCTCGCTCTGGCAGGTATTAGACCGTGAGTCTCTAAAGCAACATTATCTCGGACACGTGACAGGTTTCTGAGGACAATTTTTGTTAAGACCCAATTTAACATGGAATTGGCTTTCTGAAACCAAAGAATATACAGTACATCTGACAGACACATCGTCCCTTTCAAGTATTAAATCACAAATAACCTGGGAAAGAAAATGAGGGGTTGAAACTGACCACACTAATAATTGCTCCGAGAGTCCTCTCAGTCAGGACTGTCCCATCAACACACATTTATGAGTTTAAAAATCCCCGGCCTCGTCTTAGCACTGGTGATACAATAAGGATGGAGAATAAAATTACAGAAAGCAAAATTCGAGCCACGTGAAGGGCCGCTGGGGAGGGGCAGCTGCGAGCTCTACGTGCACCCTCGGGTCGGTTGTGTAAGTGTCAGAGACGACCCGGGAGTCCTGAGGAGCAATTAAGGCCGGGTAGGTGGATGCAGGCCGGGAAGAGGGGACAAGCACCCCTGCAAATGCAAAGAGAAGGAGGCCGCTCGGGGGTCAGCGAGCTCGTCGTGAGCCCCGCCCCTCTCACCAGGGAAACCCGAGACCCCCTTCTTCCCAGTTCTTCACAGCGTGTCCGGCCAGGCCTCGCCGAGCGGTCAGGGTCCCCGCCGGCGCCGCCGAGACCGGAAGTGACCTGGCGCTAACCGGGCGACAACACCGCAGACCCGCCGACCGGGGCGAGGAGCGCGCCGACGCCTGTGGGGCGCCGAAATCTAGGATCTCATGGTCTCTCCTAGATTGGCTTGTCTCCCCACGCCCGGACACGCGGCCAGGTCGAGACGGCGGCAGAGGGCTCCCGGGCTGGAGCGGGCTTCCCCCGGGTCACCCCAGAGCAGGTGCAATCTGGCAGTGCGGGAGGAGCGGAGTGCGCCCGCAGCCTGGGCTCCCCGTGCCAAGACCAAGGACCCCTCACCTGCTTGCAGTGGAGGTGGCCAGGAATCGGCTGCCGCCCCGCACCACCAGCGTCTGCCCGCACAACGCCAGTCCCACAGAGCCCGCCATGTACCCGCCCGCCGCGCCGCCAGACACACGTGCCACCCCAGGGCCTCTTCTCGTCCGCGCCCGTCGGTGACGTCACGCGTAGACGCCGAGAGATGACGTATCCCCGCGGAAGAGCCCGCCCTCGGCGTGCGCCGCAGGTGCTGTGACGGTCCTCGGGATTGCGGCTGGTGGCCGCCGGGGTGTCGGGCTGGGCGGCTCGCTCCCCGAGGCGATCTGATGGCCTGCACTTCGCGCGATTCCAAGTGCCTGCCTAATGATCGTCCTTTCCTCCAGACCGGGTAGGGCTGGTTCTGGATCTTTTCCCGCCGTAGCTGGAGAGACGTTAGGACCTGATAGCTGCGTGATGCCTGGTAAATGATCCTTCGGGAAGTGAATGAGGCCTGGCGCGGCGGCTCACGCCTGTAATCCCTGCACTTTGGGAGACCTAGGATCACCTGAGGTCGGGAGTTCGAGACCAGTCTGACCAACATGGAGAAACCCCGTCCTGACTAAAAATACAAAATTAGCCGGGCCCGGTAGCACATGCCTTAATCCCAGCCACTCGGGAGGCTGAGGCAGGAGACTCGCTTGAACCCAGAAGGCGGAGGTTGCGGTAAGCCGAGGTCACGCCATTTCACTCCAGCCTGGATGACAAGAGTCAGACTCCGTTTAAAAAAAAAAAAAAAAGCCGGGCGCGGTGGCTCAAGCCTGTAATCCCAGCACTTTGGGAGGCCGAGGCGGGTGGATCACGAGGTCAAGAGATCGAGACCATCCTGGTAAACATGGTGAAACCCCGTCTCTACTAAAAATACTAAAAATTAGCTTGGGCATGGTGGCGCGTGCCTGTAATCCCAGCTACTCAGGAGGCTGAGGCAGGAGAATTGCCTGAACCCAGGAGGCAGAGGTTGCGGTGAGCCGAGATCGTGCCATTGCACTCCAGCCTGGGCAACAAGAGCGAAACTCCGTCTCAAAAAAAAAAAAAAAAAAAAAGTGAATGAGCTGGGAGCCGTGGCTCACGCCTGTAATCCCAGCACTTTGGGAGGTAGAGGCAGGCGCATCACCTGAGGTCAGGAGTTCTAGACCAGCATGGTGAAGCCCTGTCTGTACTAGAAATAACAAAAATTAGCCGGGCCTAGTGGCGCGCGCCTGTAATCCCAGCTACTCAGGAGGCTGAGGCAGGAGAATCGCTTGAACCCGGGAGGTGAAGGTTGCAGTAGTTGAGGTTGCCCCACTGCACTCCATCCTGGGCAACAAAGCGAGACTGTCTCAAAAAAAGTAAAAATTAAACAATAGTCCAAGATGTGGTCATGGGTGGGGGTGTCACACAGTTGGGGTCAAGTCTGAGGTTGCAGGAAGTAAGCCTACTTAACCTTTGCACTTAGACAAGCCAAAGATGCCTTAAAATCTTCAAACAGGAGTGATATTTTCAACCCAAACTATGATTGGTTTCCAGTGTTCCTCCCAAGATCCCCAAAAGCTTTTTCAGTCCCAACATCAGGCACAAAATCTAGGATCTCATTGCCTGTCCTAGATTGGCTTGTCCAGTGCAACTCCTCTTGATCTAGAGACTTACAAACTGAAAAGATGCATTTTCTCTCCCATGCACCCAACATATGATGGGAATGGGGACCAGATAACCACAATAAATACCTCCATGTGAAAAGGAGACGAGGAAGAGACAGAACAATCACTGGTCCAAAGCATTCTGAAATAATACTGCAAGAAGTTTTCAGACCTTAGGGGGATAAGAAGTGTTCCTTAACGAGACCCAAGTTCTGCTTGCTGGGAGTACCTCCCCAGGCTGTGTCTCAGTACAAGTCTTGCCTCTGCCTTCCTGGGTGACCCTCCTTTGCCACCACCTTCTTAGCCATTTTGAAGAATGTGCCCTTTGAGAAACTTTCTCAGCCTATTTCCTATCATTAGCAAACTCTGGACCCAGAGACCTTTTTTCATTTTAAACTGTTGTGTTCACATTTTGGCAACTAGTGCGGCTTTGTTCACAAGTCCCTTAAAAACGTCATGGGCTAAAGAAAAAAAAACCAACAACTTTGTGGGCTTCTCAAGAATCTTGATTCAGGTCCTCCCCATGCCCCAAAAGCCACTCCCACTACTGTTTTTAAAATAAGCCTCATGGGCCAGCCACAGTGGCTCATGCCTGTAATCCCAGCACTTTGGGAGGTCGAGGCGGGCAGATCACAAGGTCAGGAGTTCAAGACCAGCCTGGCTAACATGGTGAAACCCTATCTCTACTAAAAATACAAATGTAACCCCAGCTACTCAGGAGGCTGAGGCGGGAGAATTGCTTGAACCCGGGAGGCAGAGGTTGCAGTGAGCCAAGATTGTGCCACTGCACTCCAGCCTGGGTAACAAGAGCAAGATTCCATCTCAGAAAAACAAAAAACAAACAAAAAAACACTTTGTGTTTCCCTGTGACTGATCTCTTTGGGCCAATTTCTTGGAGTGGCCCCACTGCTCAAAGGTAGCCAGGTGTGAACCACCACACCTGGCCACCTAAGTTTCTAAATAGATGTGGTTCTCTCGCTGAACTCTGTTATATTCTGTTAGCAAACTCTATCCTTGAATAGACACCACACAGTAATGTAGTGATCGCGGTAGCAGCAACTTAAGTTGTAATATCTTTTAGGGCAAGTCGTCACCCTTTTTCCTCACTCTTCCCCTCGTTTTCCTCTCTTCTTCATCCTCCTCCAAGAAAGCCTTGAGTATTCATGGCCATTTATTCCTTCCATATAACTGTTATAACTAGGGCCTGGCATGGTGGCACACACCTGTAATCCCAGCACTTTGGGAGGCCAAGGCAGGTGGATCACCTAAGGTCAGGAGTTTGAGACCAGCCTGGCCAACACGGTAAAACCCTGTTTCTACTAAAAATACAAAAATTAGCCCGGCGTCGTGGCTTGTGACTGTAATCCCAGCTACTCTGGAGGCTGAGGCAGAAGAATCACTTGAACCCAGGAGGCAGAGGTTGCAGTGAGCTGAGAGATTGCACCACTGCACTCCAGCCTGGGCAACAAGAGCAAAACTCCATTAAAAAAAAAAAAAAAAATGCCGTGCGCGGTGGCTCAAGCCTGTAATCCCAGCAATTTGGGAAGCCGAGAGGCCGAGACGGGTGGATCACCTGAGGTCAGGAGTTCAAGACCAGCCTGGCCATCGTGATGAAAACCCATCTTAAAAAATAAAGCATTTAAGTAGGTTGTCAATTTTCCCGAAAATCCCTGCTGGGATATTGATTAGAATGTAACTGAATGGATTTTTTATATATCCAGTCTGTCCCCAGGCTGGAGTGCAGTGGTACAATCACAGCTCACGGTAGCCTTGACCTCCTAGGCTCAAATGGATTGTCCCACCTTGGTCACCTGAGTGGCTGGGACTACAGGTGTGCACCACAACACATTAACTTTTAAACTTTTTGTAGAGACTGGGGTCTTGCTATATTGTCCAGGCTAGTGCCAAACACCCAGCTTCGAGCGATCCTCCCACCTCAGCCTAGATTTTTTTTTTTTTTTTTTTTTTTTTTTTGAGACAGAGTCTTACTCTGCTGCCTAGGCTGGAGTGCAGTGGTGTGATCTTGGCTCACTGCATCCTCCACCTCCTGGGTTCAAATGATTCTCCTGTCTTAGCCTCCTGAGTAGCTGGGACTACAGGCACGCATCGCCACGCCCAGCTAATTTTTGTATTTTTAGTAGAGACAGGGTTTTGCCATGTTCGCTGGGCTGGTCTCAAACTCCTGACCTCAGGCAATCCTACCACCTTGGCCTCCCAAAGTGCTGGGATTACAGGTGAGAGACACCATACCTGGCCTACATTTTTGTGAAGAATATTCACGTTTACAATATTTAGGAGCAACTTTTCTCTTCATTTATTAATGTCTTACAATAAAATGTTATTCAGAAAGTGCACGAAACTTTAAATTTTATTTTTAGCAAAAAAGAGGGGTTTTGCTAGTGTAGATGGGATCCTTTTAAATTTTTCTGTTTGTTGCTGGTGTCTAGAAATAAAATTGACTTTTACATCCAGCAGTTTTGCTGAATGCTTGAATTCATTTCAATAATGTTTCTAGATGTTCCATGGGCTTTGCGAGCAAACACTGCCAGTTTGCCCACTTCGTCAGTGTAAGGCCTGTGCCCCCAGGTGTATTCCCAGCCTTCTGGGGAGGAATGGGGAGCCCCTGCCGGCTGTGCTGCTCAGCCTTTGGGTCACTGCCCTCCAAGCTTTACATCTGCTTACATTTCTTTTTACTGCTAATGGTATCGTGTGGTCTGTAAGTGTCTGGGTGTGTAAGTTTTAATAAACCTTAACTTTTTATAATCCAGCACCCTCCTGGCTGGGTTAGCCACTGAAAGCCTGGTAAGCAGAAGGGAAAGAGAAGCAAGGGTGTGAACGCACTGGTAGGATGTGTCTCCTGGATGGCTGCTGCTCCTGCTGGACAAGCCCATAGGAGGCCCTGCTTCCGACAAGTGAGCCTCCATGCCACACCATTACTTTTTCTTTTTCTTTTTCTTTTTCTTTTTTTTAAGACAGAGTTTCATTCTTGTTGCCCAGGCTAGAGTGCAATGGCACAATCTTGGCTCACTACAACCTCTGCCTCCTGGGTTCAGGCGATTCTCCTGCCTCGGCCTCCTGAGTAGCTGGGATTATACAGGTGCCCACCACCACATCTGGCTAATTTTGTTTTTGGGTTTTTTTATTTTTTATTTTTTTTGAGACAGAGTCTGGCTCTGTCACCCAGGCTGGAGTCAGTGGTGCTATCTCAATCACTGCAACCTCTGCCTCCTGGGTTCAAGCTATTCTCCTGCTTCAGCCTCCTGAGTAGCTGGGACTACAGGTGTGTACCACCATGCCCAGCTAGTTTTTGCATTTTTAGTAGAGACAGGGTTTTACCATATTGGTCAGGCTGGTCTTGAACTCCTGACCTTAGGATCTGCCCACCTCAGCCTCCCAAAGTGCTGAGATCATAGGTGTGAGCCACCGTGCTGGCCTTAATTTTGTATTTTTAGTAGGGACGGGTTTTTCCATGCTGGTCAGGCTGGTCTCGAGCTCCTGACCTCAGATGATCCACCCACCTCAGCCTCCCAAAGTGTTGGAATTACAAGGGTGAGCCACCTTGCCCAGCCTAATTTTTTAAATTTAATTTAATTTTATAAGAGGCAGAGTCAGCCTCACGCCTGTAATGCTAGCACTTTGGGAGGCCGAGGTGGGCAGATCACAAGGTCAAGAGTTTGAGACCATTGTGGCCAATATGGTGAAACCCCATTTCTACCAAAAATACAAAAAAAAGCTGCGTGTGGTGGCAGGTGCCTGTAATCCCAGTTCCTCGGGAGGCTGAGGCAGAAGAATCGCTGGAATCCAGGAGGCCAAAGTTGCAGTGAGCCGAGGCCACACCATTGCACTCCAGCCTGGGCAACACAGCGAGACTCCATCTCAAATAAATAAATAAATAGGCAGAGTCTCACTATATTGCCCAAGCTGGTCTCAAACTCCAGGGCTCAAGCAATCCTTCTGCTTCAGCCTCTTAAAGTGTCTCCTGGATGAAATTAGGAGAAATTACAGAAATTACAGGCATGAGCCACCACCTCTGGACCCAGCCCCTACTTATTACTGCAATATGCAATTTGAAGAGACTTAACTGCTGACCAGGAAATGGCTAGTGTCACATAGCATTTGAAGTGGGTACTCACGGCACTTGAGCTCACCACCACAGCACCAGGAGGTGGTTGTGAAATTATTACAGTAGTAAGGTATGTGCTAGCATTAATTTTATGCAGTTGTGATTGAATAGTATGTGTTTACTGCTTTTACATTTCTCTCAACTGTGAATGCTGCCATGTGTGATTTCTGTTAATGTGTGTAAGTTTTAATGAATTTTAATATATTATCAATTTGAGTATATTTTATGTAGTAAATAATAAAATTAGTATCTACATATATTTTGTGCATTCATGACATACCATTTTTTAAATTTTTCAGCTATGTACTTCATCCTAGTTTTGACAAATTATTTCATTTCTACAAAAAACTTTTCAATGTTTATTGAAATACATTGAAACCTAGATATAGATATAAATATCTATGTTATAAATAGCAGCCAGGCACAGTGGCTCATGACTGTAATCCCAGCACTTGGGAGGTGGAGGCCAGTGTACTGCTTGAGCTCAAGAGTTCCAGACCAGCCTGGGCAACATGGTAAAAACCTGTCTCTACAAAAAATACAAAAATTAGCCAGGTGTGGTAGTGTGCACCTGTAGTCCCAGCTACTTGAGAGTCTGAAGTAGTAGAATCACCGGAGCCTGGGAAAGTTGAGGATGCAGTGAGCTGAGGTAAAGCCACTGCACTCCAGCCTGGGTGACAGCGAGACCCTGTCTTTGATAAATTAATAAATAAATATCATACATACATGTCTCCTTTTGGTTTGTTTTTTCTGGAAAACCCTATCTACTACAAGAGCCAAATTTTGAAGATTTTGGCCGGGTGCAGTGGCTCATGCCTGTAACCCCAACACTTTGGGAGGCCAAGATGGGCAGGTCATTTGAGGTCCAGAGTTCAAGACCAGTCTGGCCAACATGGTGAAACCCCATCGCTACTAAAAATACAAAAATTAGCCGGGAGAGGTGGCACATGCCAGTTGTCCCAGCTATACCCGGTAGGCTGAGGCAGGAGAATTGCTTGAACCTGGGAGGTGGAGGTTGCAGTGAGCGGAGATTGTACCACTGCACTCTAGCCTGAGCAATAGAGCAAGGCTGTCTCAAAAAAAAAAAATTTTTTTTTAAAGTTTTAAAAATCTGTTGGCATTTTTTACCTTCTCCCTTTGGGTACAAAGGATTGCCTTCTCATGATTATCCTAAGATTTAGGGTTGTTCCCTTTGCTTCCCAGGGTGGATGGTGACAGGTTCCCTTGCATTTACTTGATTCCAGGCGCCTCTTTGATAAGGGCCAGAGGGCATCTCATTCTGCCAGTTTATCTTGCCACCTCAGTGAATCTCTAGTTGTGAGTCAGGTATCCCTACACGATTCATTTAAATGGCTATGGCATGGCCTCTCTGTGGAAGCTGAAGGTGTGGGCATGTCCATTTCCAATGAATTGCAAACGGGGTGCTGGGCACGCGAAAGGAGGCAGGAAATTCAAGAGGCACAGAAGGAAGCTAATAACGAATTACACCGACTCCATATTTACGCCTAACATTGGGGGCGAACTCTTCTCTCAAAGCCATAAACATTCAGGTGAAACAAAGCCGTCTCCCATCGGCCTAACGCTGGTATGAGCGTGGGCGGGGGCGGTGCAGGATGGGCAGTGAGCAGCGGAGGCCGCGTTGCCAGCAGAGAGTGAGGGAGCTGGGCGCGTGGTGCGGGCGCCGAGGTCGGAGCCCTTTAAAACGCCCCAAAACCCAGGAATAACAATCGAGCAGGACCAGACTGTGCCGCTGGGGAAGGTCTCGGATCTAAGGCTGCGAACACAAGGGGAAGGAAGTGCGAAGGGGTTGGCTGCGCCTTCACGCTGCTGCCTCTGATTGGTGGCTCTGACACGGGGCGTGGCCTCGAGCGCGGCGCGTAGCCCTACTGGGGATGCGCGCGCAGGCGCACGAGCATTGCTCCGCCCCCGTCCGGGCTGTGATTGGCGCACTCGGTCCAAGGGGCGGGTGTTCAGGCGGGGGTGCGCGCGCAGCTACGGCGTCCCGGACTGCAGCTCCTGCAGTCACCGCCATGGCCGCCCCGCTCTTGCTGCAGCAAGGACGAGCCGGGGCGCTGAAGGTAAAGGAGGAGCCTGCCTGGGCCGGCTACGCGGCCCGGAGCCCACGTAGGGAATCGGGTGAGGGGGCGCGGTGCTGGTCAGGTCCGGGCCTCTGCGCGACCTCCAGCCGTCCTGGTTGGGCCGGTGACGCCGCTCGCTAGGCCCAGGACTGAGGGTCACCGGGCCAGGCCCAGTGTAGCCGGCGAGCGTCCCGGGGCTCCCCCATTCCCTTCCGCCTCCGCAGCTGCCCGAGGCCGGCGTGCCCCGTGCAGACCGCCCTACCACCCCGCGCAGTGGCGTCCCCCGCTGGACCCGAATCACCTCGGGAGCACCTGAGGGCTGCATGCGTGGGCGGCAGACGGGGTGGACGTTTCCAGGTGATGCCGCCGCGCCGCCGGGCTCAGCCGCTGTGCGGCCTCCCGCACGGCTTCTTTAAGGACATTGACTTACTCATTTAGCCAAGGGAGAGTATGAGAGAACTGTCAGGGATCTGGTCAACCCAGTAGCTTACTGACAGCTGTTGAGAAGCCAGCTGTCACGACCTGACCCGTGAAAAGGGGAAGAAGGGCTTCTTTTTCTGCAAATGAAAAGCTAAGGCCAGGCCGGATGCGGGCACTTCGGGATTTTGCCTGTAATCCCTTTATTTTGGAAGGCCGAGCCAGGCGGATCACTTGAGCTCAGGAGTTCAAGACCAGCCTGGCCAACATGACAAAACCCTGTCTCTACAAAAAATACAAAAAATTATCCGGGTGTGGTGATACATTCCTGTAATCTCAGCTACTTGGGAGGCTGAGGTGAAGGGATCCCTTGAGCCCGGGACTCGGAGGTTGCAGTGAGAAGAGATGATGCCACTGCACTCGAGCCTGGGGGACAGAATAAATAAATAAGGCCAAGGCCACTTCATTATCTTATAAACTTAAAACTGGGTGTTACTACAAAAGCAATAGCTGTTCTTTTTTTTTTTTTTTTTTTGAGGCGGGGCCTCACTCTGTAGCCTGGGCTGGAGTGCGGTGGCACGATCTCAGCTCACTGCAACCTTCATCTCCCAGGATCAAGCAACTCCCATGCCTCAGCATGCAGAATAATTTAAAAGTACAGTCCACAGTTACTCCTTCAAGCATCTAATTCCTAAAGATATTTATCAGCTTTTATTCACATAAGCACATGTACTCGTGCTTGCAATCACGGACATAAATGTTTTAATGTTTTTATGTGCACATACAGGCACCTCTGTTCTGTATCCAGCATCTAGAACATTGTACTGTCTCGCACTTAGTAGGCCTTAGTGAATATATGCCGAGTGATTTGGCAAGATATAAAATATAAACATTATATTGTAGACACTTTTGAAGCAGTTATTATATACCTACATCATTTTAATGGCCAGATAGTATTTCTTCTATTCTATTTTCTAAGTATAGGAAAAGGTTTTACAAAAAGAAACATAGGGCCCTATGGGTGGCTCACGCCTATAATCCCAGCACTTTGGGAAGCCAAGGCAGGTGGATCATTTGAGGTCAGGAGTTTGAGATCAGCCTGGCCAACATGGTGAAACCCCATCTCTACTAAAAATACAATAAGAGCTGGGCACAGTTGCTCGCACCTGTAATCCTAGCACTTTGGGAGGCCGAGGCAGGTGGATCACCTGAGGCCAGGAGTTCAACACCAGCCTGATAAACATGGTGAAGCCCCATTTCTACTGAATACAAAAAATTGGCTGGGCATGGTAGCGATTGCCTGTAATCCCACCTACTTGGAAAGCTGAGGAAGGAGAATAGCTTGAACCTGGAAGGCGGAGGTTGCAGTGAGTGGAGATTGCCCCACTGCACTCCAGCCTAGGAGATAGAATGAGACTCTCTCAAAAAAAATGTAAAAAGATACAAAATAATGAGCCACGGGTGGTGGCGCCTGCCTGTAATCCCCCAGCTACTTGGGAGGCTGAGGCCCAAGAATCGCTTGAACCCAGGAGGCAGAGGTTGCAGTGAGCCAAAATCACGCCGCTGCACTCCAGCCTGGTTGACAGAGTGAGAGCCATCTCAAAAAAAAAAAAAAGAAAAGAAAAAAAGAAACGTAGTAGTATTTTGTAGGTTTATCAGTAATTAGAGACTACAAAAAAATATGCACAGCAGAACATCTGGTTGGAGTTTCATTAACCTAAATATTAATAGTGATTGTCCTTGAACTCAGGCATTTTCTTCTTGCAGCGTTTTTGTATTTTATAAAATGTGCACAATAAACATTATGAAAACTGTAATACCGTTAGAATTATACTGTGTGAAGGTCGTACATTTGTATGTGGTAGTGATATATCGTATTCATGTGCACAGCACCTGCATGCATACAATCCTAGCACTTTGGTTGTTGGGTTTTTTTTTTTTCCTGAAACGGAGTCTTGCTTGGTTGTCCAGGCCGGAGTGCAGTGGCGCAATCTTAGTTCAGTGCAACCTCCACCTCCTGGGTTTAAACAGTTCTCCTGCCTCAGCCTCTGGAGTAGCTGGGACTACAGCACCACCATGCCCGGCTAATTTTTTTGTATTTTTAGTAGAGATGGAATTGGCCAGGCTGGTCTGAGAACTCTTGACCTCAAGGTCATCTGCCCACCTCAGCCTCCCGAAGTGCTGGGATTATAGGCATGAGCCACCATGCCTGGCTAATGCTCGCACTTTGGGAGGCCAGGAGTTTGAGACCAACCTGGACAACATAGCCACATCTTGTCTCTACAAAAAAATAAAAAATATTAGCCAGGTATGGTGGTGTGTGCCTGTAGTCCCAGCAATGTCAGAGGATCACTTGCACCCAGGAGTTGAGGCTGCAGTGAGCCATGATTGTGCCATTGCACTCCAGCCTGGGTGACTGAGGGAGACCCCCGACTCAAAAAAGAAATAAAATAAAAAAGTATTCATATGTAGTACCAACTATTATATAATAGCGTTACTCTGAGCATCCATATTCATTCATTCTTTTGTCAGACTTTCCTCCAGGAAGCCCATGTGTTTCGAGGACTTGCTTCTACAGTTTCTTTGTCTGCGGAATCAGGGAAGAGTGAAAAGGGTCAGCCACAGAATCCCAAGAAGCAGAGTACACCAAAAAGTAAGATTTTGATGTAGTCACGAGGGAAAGAGAATGCAAAAAGGAGTTGGGTCAGTCTTCCAAGCGTGACAGTGCGTTTGACCGGCTACATACCTTACGCTGCTGCTTTTTCAGCAGTGTCCAGATTATATGAGACACAAGATCTGTGACAGATTGTAGACCAAACACACCAGTGATGTCATAATCTGACTCAACATTTAGCCCTGAAATGGTTCTTCTTGTATTTTCTAAATGCCAAACCCCAACCTGGAGTGAGTGATGCCTTGGGTAAAGGCTCTGTGACACTTAGATGGCCCCAACACAGTGAAGTTGCCCAAAAGCCACCTTACTTTCCTCTTTCCTTCCTCTGATGCTGACTTTTCTTTTCAGTCTCTCTGAGACCCATTTGTGGTTTTCCAAGCTCTGCGTAGTCCCAGTCCAGGACTGCAGCATCGTTTTATGACCGTGGAGACTGAGCTAACAGCAGGCCAGTGTTTTCCACTCTGACTCACATTGCTGATGCATGATGTTTCTAGGTCTTCACGCAGTCATTTTGACTTCTATCACCAAATTTTTTGCCTTTTTTTCCCTCCCTGAATACCAGTGCAGCATATACTCATTGAAGGAAACTAAGAAAAGCAACAGTATATTTTAAATGCTTCTCTCCTGAGAATAATTTTATTTTCTATTTGCTGCTCCTTATTGGTAATTGATTATGGCCCAGGTCAGTTGCAGTTAGCCTTAATTCTTACAACCCTAATTTACTCTTGAAAGAACATGTGTATAGGCCAGGCACAGGCTCATGTCTGTAATCCCATCACTTTGGGAGGCCGAGGCAGGTGGATCATCTGGGGTCAGGAGTTTGAGACCAGCTTGGCCCATGTGGAAAAAGCCCGCCTCTATTTAAAATACAAAAATTAGCCAGGCATGGTGGCACGTGTTTGTAGTCCTGTCTACTCAGTTGGCTGAGGCAGGAGAATCACTTGTACCCATGAGGAGGAGGTTGCAGTGAGCCGAGATCACACCACTACATTCTAGCCTGGGTGACAGAGTGACACTGTGTCTCAGAAAACAAAACAAACAAACGTGGCACAAACTGCCTCTGTAAATCTTTAATTCTTATACGAGGTTGTAGAATGATCACTGAGTTCAGTCTTACTTTCATCAAAATCCTATTTCCTCAGTTTGAATGTTTGGAAGTATTTAGATTCTTTGGTTTTCTTCTTCCTTGGTCAGTGCACAGAACACTGGTAGGTTTTTAAAAATGTGTGTTTTATGGAGAGGGCCAGCCCCTGACCGCCTCTCACAGCGCATCGACTTGAGGCTTGGATTCCACGGGAACGTTGTTTAGTTTTGTCCTATGGTTCCTGCCTCCTTTTTCAATCCTTGTTCTTTTCTCTTTCTTCTTCCTTTTATGTTGTTTTAAGAGAGAGGCTCTGGCTCTGTCTCCCAGGGTGGAGTGCAGTGGCACAATCATAGCTCACTACAGCCTCGAACTCCTGGGCTCAAGCAGTCCTCCCACCTCAGCCTCCTGAGCAGCTGAGACTACAGGCACATGCCGCCACACCTGGTATATACCTGGCATGTTCTGTGGTTTATTTTTTGAGACAGAATCTTGCCCTGTCACCCAGGCTGGAGTACAATGGCACAATCACAGCTCACTGCAACCTCGACCTTGCAGGCTCAAGCGATCCTCCCACCTCAGCCTCTGGAGTATCTAGGACTAAAGGTGCACACCATCACATCCCAGCTATTATTTTAATTTTCCAAAGAGATGAAATCTCACTATATTGCCTAGACTGGTCTTGAATTCCTGGGCTTGAGCGATCTTCCCACCTCAAACTTCAGTAGTATTGGGATTACAGGCATGAGCCACTGTGCCCAGACTACCTGGCACATTTCTGACATTCTATAAATATTTACTGATGAACAATTAGTTCAGTTTCATTACTAACATTATCTGCTCCTTTGGTGAATTTCAGTCTGTGTCTGCAATCCTATATCATAGACTTCTGAATTTGGATTAAATGGATTTTAAAATATGGCAGAGCCAAAGAGCCCCCTTTTTAGATACATTCATCTGTGTGTGAGTGGAAATGAAGTGCCTCATCCTGTGACCATCTGGGGTGTGGTTTGGGGAGGCGAACGCTGACGTGGGAGTGGGCCTTGGGCTCTCGTGGAGCTTCTGCCTCTGGCCTTGGTGGGCCCTGCAGGACCCGGAGCCTCAGTTCCTTTGTGCGTAAGCAGGATGAGCTACCAGCCTCACTGGGTGGTGCTGAGACCGGACGCAGTGGGCTACACGTAGCTACTGTGCAGGCTGCAGGGTGCTTTCAGGTGGGAGGACAGTTTTCAGAACTAAGCTCGTCAATACACATAATAGTTTTAACATCTCACAATTTTTTTTTTTTTTTTTTTTTTGAGTCAATCTTACTGTAGCCCCCAGGCTGGAGTGCAGTGGCGTGATCTCAGCTCACTGCAACCTCAACTCACTGCAACCTTTGCTTTCTGAGTTAAAGTGATTCTCCTGCGCCAACCTCCTGAGTAGCTGGGATTACACAGCATGCCACCACACCTGGCTAATTTTTGTATTTTTAGTAGAGACGGTTTTCAACATGTTGGTCAGGCTGGTCTCAAACTCCTGATCTCATGATCCGCCCACCTCAGCCTCGCACAGTGCTGGGATTACAGGCATGAGCCACCACATTCAGCCTGATTTTCAAATGAATTCCTGTACAGGCTGCGCATGGTGGTTCATTCCTATAATCCCAGAACTTTGGGAAGCTGAGGTGGGAAGATCAGTTGAGCTTAGGAGTTTGAGACCACCCTGAGCAACATAGTAAGACCCTATCTCTAGGAAAAATTTTAATAAATAGCCGGGAGTGGTAGTGTGCACCTGTGGTCCTAGTTATTCAGGAGGCTGAGGTGAGAGGATCATTTGAGGCCAGTAGTTTGAAGCTACAGTGAGTCATGATTGCACCACTGCACTCCAGCCTGGGTGACAGAGTGAGACCCTGTCTCAACAAAAACAAAAACTGAGTCCAGTCATGGTGGCTCACGCCTGTAATCCCAGCATTTATGGAGGCCGGGGCAGGTGGATCACTTGAGGTCAGGAGTTTGAGAACAGCCTGGCCAATATGATGAAACCCTGTCTCTACTAAAAATACAAAAATTAGCTAGGTGTGGTGTGGCAGGTGCCTGTAATCCCAGATACTCGGGAGGCTCGCTTGAACCCAGGAGGCAGAGGTTGCAGTGAGCCGAGATCACACCACTGCACTCTAGCCTGGGCGCCATAGCGGTCTCAAAAAAAAACACACACCAAACCAAAAAGTCCCTGTACAAAGAAAAATAAATAATGCTTCTAAATGGACACGTGCAGGCCCATGTTTCCCCTGAAGCTGGTAGTTGATAAGTGTAAGACAAGCCTTTCTCAGCTGGAACTTTCCTGTGTCCAGGTGAGGGCACTCAAAGCTCTCACCCCTGGAATTACATCTCTAGTCAGAGTATGTGCCACCAGGATAAGAGCCCGGGCGATGGAGTGTGCTGTGCCTCACTTCGTCAGAGCCGTCCAGCTTCCCCAGCACATGCCTTCCCCGAGGAAGGTCGCCGGCACAGGTGTTAGAGGCTGGGGTGTCTTGGCAGTGCACTTTGGGGAGCCGCTAAGCTCTCCAGCTCTGTGCTTTCCTTGAATCCAGTACCCAGTCCTAACTTTGCAGAAGTCAGTAATAAATTGTTGACTGAGTGATTTCAGTGTAGCTTCTTGAAGAGTATGTTAAGAAACCAAAGTGAATTATCCATTTGAAGTCCTTGTTTCAGTTTTAAAAGTGAGGAATATCTGGAAATAGAAATTTCATGTATCCAGCCAGGTGCGGCGGCTCATGCCTGTAGTCCCAGTACTTTGGGAGGGTGAGGTGGGTGGATCACCTGAGGTCAGGAGTTGGAGACCAGCCTGACCAACATGGTGAAACCCCATCTCTACTAAACATCCAAAAAAAAAAAAAAATAGGCGGGTAGGGTGGCACATGCCTGTAACCCTGGCTACTCTGTCTGCTGAGGCAGGAGAATCACTTGAACCTGGGAGGCGGAGGTTGCAGTGAATCAAGAATCAGCCTGGGCAAAAACAGTGAAACTCCATCTCAAAAAAAAAAAAGTTAGCCAGGTGTGGTGATGTACACCTGTAGTACCAACTACTCGGGAGGCTGAGGCAGGAAGATCACTTGAGCCCAGGAGGCTGAGGTTTCAGTGAGCTGAGATCGCACCACTGCACTCTAGCATGAGTGACTAAGCTAGACGCCATCTAAAGAAAAAGAAAAAGAAATGTTAGATATCCAGTTATAACAAGTAGTGCCAGCCCCTTCTCCAAGTACTTCCCCATAGCTCATCTTCCCCAGTCTTCAGCAACCCCGGGAGGAGACGCTTCTGTCATCCCCATGTCACAGACAAGGAAGTCATGGTGTGGAGGGACTGAGCTGCCGGAGTCCACACAGGCGTCAGGGAGAAGCCTGGATTTGAACCCAGGCACTCTGGCGGTGCAGTTCGTATTTTAATCACTGTGCTGTCTTCCTTCTGAAAAACTCGATTCTCATGTGTTTATTTAAAAATAAAACTTTTTACAGTGAAACACCTGTAGAAGTTTCCATTACCATTTGAGTAACTTTATTCTCTAATGTAATCTTTAAATGCACCTTTATTTCTGAACGTGCCTTGTTTCCAAAGTGTGTTTTGTGACCTTTTGACAAGATATGGAAGTATTTTAAGGTTGCTGATCCATGTCTCACACCCTTATCATTGTCACTTATAGGAGGATCACTAAAAGCTTGAAGGACATGCCCACACTTTTTAAGTAAGCAGAAAAGAGAGTAGGAAATGTGAGTTCTGTTTTGAGAGGAGGTAGGGAAACAAGGAGACGTCCTGCCTGCACGATTTCCTAGTCCAGTATTTGTATGTCTTTATTTCACATGGGTTGTGATGGTCGCTGAGAGAAGAGAAACAGTCTCTGAAAGTGCCCATCTTGTGCTGTGAGATAGGCCTACACAGCTTGTGTTTTATTGTACAGTCACCCGTCAGGATCTGAGGGGATTTCCTGCTGTCTGTTAGCCTTTCCATCAGATTCTCCTGGTAACTTGCGTCAACAGAAGAAACCTTAAATCATTATGTTGTATGATAGACAAATGTTTTCTCATCAAACAAAATTTGTGAGCCATAGCATTGTTAATCCCATCTGAAATTTTGTGTCCATTTTCAGTAGGTAATAGATCAACCTGCTATGTAGTTTTAATATTCATTAAAACTTTTTAAATCTCCACACAAATTTTGGAAGATTCAGTAGTCATTATTTTTCTATTCAATACAGCCTGTCTAAGATAAACCTTCTTTTCAGTTATTTTTTCATACTTGGAAAATTCATGCTCAAAATATAGATGAATTAATGATCCAGGTGTGTGGGCTGTGAGGGTTTGAAAGCCAGTGTGTCCTAGACATTGCCATTACGACTGTTGAAGCTGTGCAGTTTAGAGGGACCCCCACTTCACCCCGTCTTTATGTTAGCACAGCCCTGGACCTCTGTGTGAGCTCTGGGAATGGCCAGCACCAGCGCCGCTCTGGGCCGCCCAAATGCAGGCTCCAGGCGCGCGCCCGGTGGGGGTGGTCCTGACAGGGCTGGAGTGGGTCCCCGACTCCTCTGGCTCTTCAGCCATTGCCTCTCACGATGCCTGTCGGCTTCTCTCTGGGCCATTTCTGATTGTAATTCCTCAGTTTTCTTTGATCATTTTCTATTAGTCTGTTAAACATAGGTGCCTGAGCTCAGGAAACAAATACCCATTTGGATTCTGTTCAGTTAGGACAGGTAGGAGGACAATTTTTCTACTTTAGGGAAGGAGAGAAGTAAGATTGTGATTTTTTTTTTTCTTTTTAAATTTGAGACAAGTTCTCACTCTGTCACCAGGGTTGGAGTGCAGTGGCACATTGAAGCCTCTACCTCACTGAAGCCTCTACCTCCCAGGCTCAAGCGATCCTCCCACCTCCGCCTTCCGCACCCAGCTGATGTTTGTATTTTCTGCATAGACGGGATTTCGCCATGTTGCCCAAGCTAGTCTCAACTCCTGGCCTCAAGCAGTCCATCTGCCTTGGCCTCCCAAAATGCTAGGATTATAGGCATGAGCCACTGCACCCTGCTGGATTGTGATATTTTTAGTATAAAGTAGACTCCTAGACTTCAAGACTCTGGATTTAGATGCCGTTCACGTATAGTATTTGCTGGGCGAGGTGTCAGAGCCCCAGCACTGGGAAGTGGTAAGAATTTACCAACAAAAGTATAGGTTTGAAAAAGGAAAGATGGCTGGGCACGGGGGCTCACGCCTGTAATCCCAGCATTTTGGGAGGCCGAGTAGGATGAATCACCTGAGGTTGGGAGTTTGAGACCAGCCTGACCAACGTGGTCAGAAACCCCATCTCTACTAAAAATACGAAATTAGCCGAGCATTGTGGCACATGCCTGTAATCCCAGCTACTCTGGAGGCTGAGGCAGGAGAATCGCTTGAATCTGGGAGGTGACGCTTATGGTGAGCCAAGATTGCCTCATTGCGCTCCAGCCTGGGCAACAAGAGCAAAACTCAGTCTCAAAAAAAAAAAGGAAAGTTTAGCAGAAAGAATGCTGCAGGAGAGTGCAGCGGGGTGCCAGCAAGAGAGGGCTGAGCCCGCTGTGGTGGATGTTTCTTGGGAGCATTTATGGACCATAAGGTGGGAGTTTGAGGCTAATCTGGGCCACATTAGCCCTGTGGGTCATGATAAATGATTACTTTGCAGACATTTTAGTGCTTTAATGTCAGCAAGGGTTGCAAAATGAGTGTTGGCAAGGCATTCCAAAGATGTATAGAAATTCTAGTGACTTCGCCAGGTGCAGTGGCTCACGCCTGTAATCCTAGCACTTTGGGAGGCTGAGGTGGGTGGATCACCTAAGGTCAGGAGTTCAAGACCAGGCCATCATGGTGAAACCTCATCTTAAAAAAAAAAAATAGAAATTCTAGTGACTTATAAAAGTTGAAAGAGGCCTGGAACCAGATGCCGACTTTAGATACTGGGGAAGTGTAATGACTTCTAAATTCCCAGGTAAGGAGTTTAGCCTCCGGAGGGCCCGTCCGCTGGTCACCAGGTGGTCTTCACTCCCTCCTCGCTTCCTCAGGTCGGAAGTTTTGTCTCCGGGCCTGTTCAGTGGTTCCCAGGTGATTTTCACCCTTCTCATTCCTGCTTCTCCTCCCCAATATTTTGGTCATATCTTTGACCCTTTATATTCCCCATGCTCATGTCTGCCTGCTGCCTGCTGGGGTCTCAAGAAAGGTAAAAGTGAATGCCCGCAGTGAAGAGGAGCGTGGAGTCCCTCTGGCTGCTTCCTGCTGAAAGGCAATGCCGAGGGGACAGGTTACCTTTTCCGTTTCTTGCTCTCTGTCATGAAGGGCTCATTCATTGGTAGACTGGATTCCATCAGGAGGCCCCATTTACGTAAGTGGAAGTTGCTGTTGCAGGCCTGTGTTGGGATTGCATAGTCATCTGCAGGAGAAATGGTTATAGTCTGGAAGATACAAACTATTTTTTTTCCTTAAGACAGAGTCACTCTGTCACCCAGGCTGGAGTGCTGTGGGGCGATCTTGCTTCACTGCTCTCTACCTCCCAGGTTCCAGCAATATTCTCATACCTATACTTTTGCCTCGCTGTTTTGTTCAGAAAGTTTACGTTGTAATTTTTTTTTTAATATTTAAGAAGCACCAGTTTTTTAGAAACTGAAAAAATTATACATTTGTAAAATTTCAATAATCTGAAAATACCTTGATTATAATTTAACTGTCTTAAATTTGATAACTTGTTTAGAAATAATTATTGCCAGAGAATCTGCCACCATGAAGAAACAGAGACAGGCCTGGCATGGTGGCTCACACCTATAATCCCAGCACTTTGGGAGGCCAAGATAGGTGGATCACGAGGTCAGGAGGTCGAGACCAGCGGGCCAATATGGCGAAACCTGTCTCTACTAAAAAAAATACAAAAATTAGCCAGGTGTGGTGGCAGATGCCTGTAATCCCAGCTACTCAGGAGGCTGAGGCAGGAGAATTGCTTGAACCTGGAGGTGCAGGTTGCAGTGAGCCGAGATCAGGCCATTGTACTACAGCCTGGTCAGAAGAGCCAGACTCTGTCTCCAAAAAAAAGGAGACGAAATTGTTACTCTTATTGGTGAAAATCCTCATTTTAAAAAATTTTCAGCAACAAAGAAAAGTATCTCTACTTGTTTTTTGCCTTGATCATGAGGCCGGACTTTCACATGAGAGTGGGTTTCTATGGGGCCTGTCTTAGGATGATCACACTGAGGATACCATCAGTAACAAGTAACATGTCATGAGATGTCTGTGATTTTGACTGAGTCTTACGTTATTATGTTAAATAATATTCCTCTTTATGCCATTTCCCAGATGTAGTGGAGCCAAAGCAGAAGGGCAAGCTCCTAGCCACCCAGACAGCAGCTCAATTGTCTAAAAACCCATCTTCACCCGGTTCTCACCCACCAGCTGTGAATAAGGGCGGGACGGTAGCTAGCCCCAGCCCCGATGGCAGCGTGCTGTTCACAGATGAAGGAGTTCCGAAATTTTTGTCCAGAAAGACTTTGGTAGAGTTTCCACAGAAAGTTCCATCTCCGTTCAGAAAACAGGGCTCTGGTTCAGAAGCTCGTCGGGTGGGTTGGAAAGTGGAATCGTCTTCGTCTTCATCCTCATCCTCGTCCAGCTCCTCTGATTCCGAGTCTGACGACGAGGCTGATGTTTCAGAGGTCGCTTCTCAAGTGGTGAGCAAAGGCAGAGGGGGGCTTCGAAAACCAGAGGCCTCTCATTCCTTTGAAAACAGAGCCCCCCAAGTTACAGTATCAGTGAAAGAGAAAACCTTGCTGCAGAAGCCGCATGCAGATGTCACTTTTCCAGAGAAGCCCCGCCAGCCAAGGAAGAAAGGGCTCCCCACTAAGCCATCAGAAGGCAGGGAAGACACGAGAGCAAAAACTGCAGGGCCCAGATCTCAAGTAGATGAGTTTTTGAAGCAGAGTTTAAAGGAAAAACAATTGCAGAAAACATTTAGATTAAATGAAATAGGTAAAGAAAGCCAAAAGTCATTTGAAGTTAAAGGACCCTTGCCTGTCCACACAAAATCAGGGTCGTCTGCGCCACTGAAGGGCAGCCCAGCACCTACTGTGCTGGCAGAAGAGGCCAGAGAAGGGGGGCAGCTGCAAGCCGTTACTCCTGGGGCCTCAGAGGGGCATCTAGAAATGGTGGTGCCAGAGCCCCAGCACAAGGCGGTCCCTCCCCTGCCCGGAAAGGAAGCCTCGGGGATGCAGGGAAGAGAGGGGCGCCTGAAGGCTAGAGAGGAGGTCGTGGGAGATCAGATTCCACCGCAAGATGTGGAGACAGCTCCTGTTGAGAAGAACCACGGTTTCCGTGAAAAGCCAGCAGCGCCGAAGCGCGAGGCCAAGGGTGAGGCCATGGAAGACACGGCTGCACCAGGGGACGATCAAGACTGCACACAGGGTATACCTTGACTGACATTCCTGCTCCCCAGGGTAGCAAGGCAAAGGAACCAGTTTACATGTGCTTGCAGAGCAGTGTTACAGTTAATCCAGTTCTCCACTAGAAATGTGGTCTGTAACGCTCTCAGCCAGGCACAGAAGTATGTCTTAAGTGTGGACAAGCCACATCTTTATATTCAAAATCCCTAAAATAGTTAACATTCTTTTTTTTTTTTTTTTTTTTGAGATGGAGTCTCACATTGTCATCCAGGCTGGAATACAGTGGTGCAATCCTGGCTGACTGCAACCTCCACCTCCCTGGTTCAAGCAATTCCCCTGCCTCAGCCTCATGAGTAGCTGAGATTACAGACACACACCACCACACCCAGCTAATTTTTTTTGTATTTTTAGTAAAAACCGTGGTGGCCAGACTGGTCTTGAACTCCTGACTGCCTTGGCCTCCCGAAGTGTTGGGATTACAGGCATGAGTCCCCACACCTGGCCTATGAAGGGCTTTTAAAGGGCAACAGTATTTATTCCTGTTACGTTTTCTTTTTTTCTTTTTTTCTTCTGGAGATGGAGTCTCACTCTGTCGCCCAGGCTGAAGTACAGTGGCATGATCTTGGCTCACTGCAACCTGTACCTCCTAGGTACAAGCGATTCTTCTGCCTCATCCTCATGAGTAGCTGGGACTGCAGGCACCCACCACCACACCTGGCTGATCTTTGTATGTTTAGTAGATACAGGGTTTTACCATGTTGGTCAGGCTGGTCTCAAACTCCTGACTTCAGGTGATCCACCCACCTCAGACTCCCAGTGTGCTGGGATCACAGGTGTGAGCCACCACGCCTGACTATGTTGTCATTTTCTTGAGCACTAAACTTGATAAAATGCAGTGTGCTTTAGGTGGGTCGTGGCAAACATGAGAAGGTGGGCTTCCGTTTTGGAATCCATGGCTCTTGTTGAAGACTTCTCTAAAACCCAGGATCCCTAACAAGCACAGCTCCATCCTGTGTCTGCTCTCCATCCTCTGTACCGCCGCCCCTTGCCTTATGTGCCTTACCTGATGCCTTCTTGTTCTTCGTTCGTGATGCGACGGGATTTATGTGTCTTCTCCCTCTCCATCTGCTCCCTCTCCCATCAGTACGCAAAGTGCTGGTGCTTGCCAGGCGTCTCCAGGCCTCGGGAGCTGCATTTCCTGATGCTGCTGTTCTTACTCCTGCTCTAAAATGAGGGGAATAATACAACTTGCAGGATAAAGACAGAGAATTGGGAGTTTTCAGATTGCAAACCTTTTTGAACAGAAACTTGATTCTAATATTTCACAGATGTGTTGTTTTTTAAATATTTTCTGTGCCCATGCGCGCAGCCCACCGTGCAGAGCTGTGTCTGTGTGGGGCCGCCATCTCACTAGGTAGTCCCTGCCCCAGTACTTGCCTTCCAGGTGGATGGGTTTTAGATCAGAGTTTTATAACCTACATCTTGGTCAGTTACCCTCTCTATAGTAACGATGTATGTTCTGCTTTGAAGGTGTGCCTATACCACACAGAAGACACAGCTTGTGGAGGTTGGAACCATGTCAGCTCTTTAAATGAGACATTGTTTTTGCTTAACATAACTTAAAAAGGAAGAACTGAGCTTTTGATATTAATTGAAATAGTGAGAAAACAAATATATATATATATTTTTTGTGGCACATGAATAGAAAACAGACCTGATGAGCTGATTTTCAGAAATTGAGTCAGTACAAATCTTTTTTTTTTTTTTTTTGAGACGGAGTTTCGCTCTTGTTACCCAGGCTGGAGTGCAATGGTGCGATCTCGGCTCACCGCCACCTCCGCCTCCCGGGTTCAGGCAATTCTCTTGCCTCAGCCTCCTGAGTAGCTGGGATTACAGGCACGCGCCACCACGCCCAGCTACTTTTTTGTATTTTTAGTAGAGACGGGGTTTCACCATGTTGACCAGGATGGTCTCGATCTCTCGACCTCGTGATCCGCCTGCCTCAGCCTCCCAAAGTGCTGGGATGACAGGCTTGAGCCACGGCGCCCGCCTGAGTCAGTACAAATCTTTTTTTTTTTTTTTTTTTTTTTTTTTTTTTTTTTTTTGAGACGGAGTTTCGCTCTTGTTACCCAGGCTGGAGTGCAATGGCGCGATCTCGGCTCACGGCAACCTCCGCCTCCTGGGTTCAGGCAATTCTCCTGCCTCAGCCTCCTGAGTAGCTGGGATTACAGGCACGTGCCACCATGCCCAGCTAATTTTTTGTATTTTAGTAGAGTCGGGGTTTCACCATTTTGACCAGGATGGTCTCGATCTCTCGACCTCGTGATCCACCCGCCTCGGCCTCCCAAAGTGCTGGGATTACAGGCTTGAGCCACCGCGCCCGGCCAGAGTCAGTACAAATCTTAACCCAAACATTAGCCCGTCTTCCCATACAGGTTTTGATTTTGCCATTATGTTATATTGCATGTCCCACTGCAGGAGAACAATACTTCTTTTACCTCAACCCCTACTTGTAGTTTAGAATTACCAAATGTTCAAATGCTGTGTTGTTCCTGTTACTATAATTTATCTAATTTTCTTATATCAGACTTTCAAAAGTCTCCTTTAGTTTAAGCTTTTCAAAATTTTCTCTTTTTTTTTTTTTTTTTTGAGAGTCTTTCTCCCTCAGGCTGGAGTGCAGTGACACCATCTCAGCTCACTGCAACCTCTGCCTGCCAGTCTCAAGCAGTCCTACCACCCCATCCTCCTGAGTAGCTATTTTGCCCAGAATGATCTGGAACTCCTGAGCTCAAGCAGTCCTCCCACCTGGGCCTCCCAAAATGCTGGGATTATGGACCTGAGCCACCATCCCCAACCCAGATTTCTAATAGAGGTAGATTTTTTCATGCAACTCTAAGTGACCCAAAAGTCCTGCCACAATTGTTCTCAGCATTTTCAAACTTTAGAATAGCCTAGAAATATACAAACTAAGACGTTAAAACACATTGTGTGGCCGGGCACTGTGGCTCATGCCTGTAATCCCAGCACTTTGGAAGACCGAGTGGGCAGATGACTTGAGGTCAGGAGGTCAAGCCAAGCCTGGCCAACATGGTGAAATCCTGTCTGTACTGAAAATATAAAAATTAGCCAGGCTTGGTGGCAGACGCCTGCAATTCAGCTACTTGGGAGTCAGGTGGGAGAATCACTTGAACCTGAGAGGTAGAGGTTGCAGTAAGCTGAGATTGAACCACTGCCCTCCAGCCGCGGCAACAGAGCAAGACTCCATCTCAAAAAAAAAAATTGTAATAACTATTCCACTTCTTAAATTGCTGTATGTTTTAGACTAAATTTCCAAGTAATATATTTCATTTTCTTTTGAAGACACTGTGGCTTTCACGGGCTTTTCTTTTTTAATTAGACAGTTTGTTCCTCACAGACAGGGCTTTCGAAGAATGCTTGGTAGATAAGGGCCTGTGTGAGCCAGGTCACTCACAAAGAGCTGTTCGCGTGTGGGTCTCACGGGCATCGCGTTTCCTCCACAGGCCCGGCCGCAGCGCCTACCGAGCCATTCGACAACACGACCTACAAGAACCTCCAGCATCATGACTACAGCACGTACACCTTCTTAGATCTAAACCTCGACCTCTCAAAATTCAGGATGCCTCAGCCCTCCTCGGGCCGGGAGTCACCTCGACACTGACGGCCCTCCGTGTGAAGATGAACCTTGCTCCATCTTGGCTGCATCCTGGAGTGCACAAATAAAATCCACTCGAGTCACAAAGCCCAGTGTGCATCACGGGTCTCACTTTTACACTATTATTCTTCTAGACAGGGCCTCAAACATGGACGGAGTCTCACTCTGTCACCCAAGCCAGAGTGCAGTGGCGCGATCTTGGCTCACTGCAACTGCCGCCTCTTGGTTTCAAGTGATCCTCTCACTTCGGCCTCCCAAGTAGCTGGGACCACAGGCACACACCACCACACCCAGGTCACGTTTATATTTTTAGTAGAGATCGGGTTTCACCATGTTGGCCAGGCTGGTCTCCAACTCCTGACCTCAGGTGATCCACCCACCTCGGCCTCCCAGAGTGCTGGGATTACAGGTGGGAACCACCGCGCCCTGCCACTTTCACACTTCTACAGTATGTGGTGAATGAGCAACATTAATGCTGATTATTCAACATCTATTTTGGCATATCTACTATGTGCAAGAAATTTTCTTTTTTTTTTCTTTTTTTTTTTTTTTTTTTTTTTGAGACGGAGTTTCGCTCTTGTTACCCAGGCTGGAGTGCAATGGCGCGATCTCGGCTCACCGCAACCTCCGCCTCCTGGGTTCAGGCAATTCTCCTGCCTCAGCCTCCTGAGTAGCTGGGATTACAGGCACGCGCCACCATGCCCAGCTAATTTTTTTGGATTTTTTTAGTAGAGACGGGGTTTCACCATGTTAACCAGGATGGTCTCGATCTCTTGACCTTGTGATCCACCCGCCTCGGCCTCCCAGAGTGCTGGGATTACAGGCGTGAGCCACCGCGCCCGGCAAGGAATTTTCTTAAACTATAAGGTTGTGGATCACTGGGCAAATCCATGTAATTAGAGAATTTTAAGTGCTTTAGAGCAGTGTGATTCTACTATGCTAAGCCTGGTCAATTTAGCCTTAAACCGATTATCAGTTGAGTATCAATAACGTAACAGTGACTTCTTGTCCTATAAGCCTAGTATTTTTTTTTTTTTGAACATTAAACTCAAGATTTTGTCTTCATAATCAAAGATGACACTTAGAACTGGATAACGTGGCCCTTTCTCTTGTCTTCTCCCCGTTGAAAATGCTTGCGTCTTTTAACAGCCAGCATTGTCATAGACCTGCAGTTGGGCTCAACGCACTCAAGCCTTAGCAGTCTTCTGTTGAGCCTTTTCCCAGAAAATCTGCTTAGTTTGCCTGCCGTAGCCCCTCTGCTTCCTGTCATGACGCCGCTTTCCCTGGGCATACAGAGAAGCCTTGCCCTCCTTGTGCTTGCCACACTTCTCACAGAAAGTCCAGTGGGTTTTACAAACGTCCACGCTGTGTGTGTGAGCACTATCGGCATGGAAAGAGGCCTGGTTTTTTATCATAGAAACAGGAATTTTGGCCAGGTGTGGTTCACACCTGCCGTCCCAGCACTTTGGGAGGCTGAGGCAGGTGGAGGATCACCTGAGGTCAGGAGTTCAAGACCAGCCTGGCCAACATGGTGAAACCCGTCTCTACTAAAAATACAGAAAGCCGGGTGTGGTGGTGAGCGACTGTAATTTCAGCTACTTAGGAGGCTGAGGCAGGAGAATCACTTGAACCCAGGAGGCGGAGGTTGCAGTGACCAGAGATCGCCCCATTGCACTCTAGCCTGGGTGAGAAGAGTGAAACACCGTCTCAAAAATAAAAAAAAATAATAATAAGTTGGGTGTCGTAGCACACACCATCATACGAAAAATTAGCCAGGTGTGTTGGTGCATGCCTGTAATCCCAGCTACTGGCGAGGCTGAGGTAGGAGAATTGCTTGAACCCAGGAGGCAGAGGTTGCAGTGAGCTGAGATCATGCCATTGCCCTTCAGCCTGGGCAACAAGAGAGAAACCCTGTCTCAAAAAAATAATTTAAAAATAAATAAATATAAGGCCGGGCGCGGTGGCTCAAGCCTGTAATCCCAGCACTTTGGGAGGCTGAGGCAGGTGGATCACGAGGTCAAGAGATCGAGACCATCCTGGTCAACATGGTGAAACCCCGTCTCTACTAAAAATACAAAAAATTAGCTGGGCGTGGTGGCACGTGCCTGTAATCCCAGCTACTCAGGAGGCTGAGGCAGGAGAATTGCCTGAACCCACAAGGCTGTGCCCGACTGCCTTGGGCGCATGGCATCAGGACGTCCCGAAGCTGTGTCATGGCTGCGTCCTCAACCTTGGCAAAATAAACTTTCTAAATTAACTGTGACCTGCCTCAAATTTTCGGGGTTCACATGCCTTAGCCTCCCCAGTAACTGGGGCTATCGGCACGTGCCGCAGAGTCTCGCTCTGTTGCGCAGGCGAGGGTCCAACTGCTGAGCTGGAGCGATCTTCCCGCCTCTGCCTCCCAAAGGGTGGGATTACAGGCACAAGCCACCATGCCTGGCCTTCCTCTTCTCTCTCTCCAGCATTGGCTTTGAAATCTTATGAAATCCAAACGGATAGGAGCCTAGGCTTACAAGTATATCTTGATGGTTTCAGTTCATCAGAACCCTCGCCAAGACTTTTATTTTTAAATGTACAGCTTAAAATATATCATCCTCGGCTCTGAGCCAACCAGAGGAAGCCAAGGTAAAACACCATCTTCTCCAGGACATATGGAACATCGCTGCTGTCGGAATAAGGGAGGAGATCTGGGGAGAAAGTTCTAGTGTGACAGGCAAAGTTTCACAGCACCAACAGCTACTTTCCAGGAAAGAACTTTCAAACTATGGAGTTTATGCAAAAAAAAAAAAGAAAAGGGGAAAAAAAGATATTTCTGCAAACTGACCTAAGCCCTGGGAATCTGAACATTCCTGTCTGGGGAAAGGGAATGGGGAGTCCGGGGCCTCTGAAGGTGCAGGTGCAGTGTTCACCTGCTGCTCTCACTGAGGCTTCTCTGCATTGGCCTGCGTGTGCGTGGTACCCGAAAGCAGGCCCTTTTCCTCCCTCCCTCCCTCACTTCCTCCCTCCCTTCCTTTCAAGACAGAGTCTGGCTGTCACCCAGGCTGGAGTGCAGTGGCACAATCTTGCCTCATTGCAACCTCTGCGTCCCAGGTTCAAGTGATTCTCCTGCCTCAGCCTCCAGAGTAGCTGGGATTACAGGAACCCACCACCACGCCCAGCTAAGATTTGTATTTTTTTATTTTTTATTTGTATTTATTTATTTTAATTTAAAAGATAGGTTTTCACCATATTGATAAGACTAGTCTCGAACTCCTGGCCTCAGGTGATCCGCCCACCTCAGCCTCCCAAAGTGCTAGGATTACAGGCGTGAGCCACGGCACCTGGCATAATATTTGTATTTTTAGAAGAGGCAGGGTTTCGCCATATTGGTCAGGCTGGTCTCAAATTCCTGACCTTGTGATCCACTCGTTTCAGCCTCCCAAAATGCTGGCATTGTGGGTGTGAGCCACTGTGCTTGGCCTTTTCTTTTCTTTTTCTTTCTTTTTTTTTTTTTTTTGAGACAGGGTCTCACTCTGTTGCCCAGGCTGGAGTGGAATGGTATGATCTCAGCTCACTGCAACCTCCACCTCCTGGGTTCAAGCGATTCTCCTGCCTCAGCCTCCCGAGTAGATGGGACCACAGGTGTGCACCACCATGCCCGGCTACTTTTTGTATTTTTTGGTAGAGACAGGGTTTCACCATGCTAGCCAGGCTGGTCTCAAACGCTTGACTGCAAGTCATCTTCCCACCTGGGCTTCCCAAAGTGCTGGGATTTCAGCGTGAGCCGCCATGCCCGGCCCAGGCCATAGTCTTTCTCATGGCTGTCAGTTCCCACCCTTCCTCCCTTTCCTTGTCCCACCAAGCACTTTAAATTAAAGATCCCGATTGTGTCACCAGAGAGAGTTGCAAACTAAAGCATCTACTTGTAGGAGTCAGCCTAAGAAGGCTCATGGGACTTGATGGTTTTTTGTTTTGTTTTGTTTTTATTTTTGTTTTCTGAGACAGAGTTTTGCTCTTGTCACTCAGCTGAAGTGCAGTGGTGTGATCTCGGCTCACTGCAACCTCCACCTCCCAGGTTCAAACAATTCTCCTGCCTCAGCCTCCCAAGTATCTGGGATGCATGGAGCAGCTGCATGCACTGCCACGCCTGGGTAATTTTGTTGTATTTTTGGTAGAGACAGCGTTTCTCCATGTTGGTCAGGATGGTCTTGAACTCTCGACCTCAGGTGATCCACTCACCTTGGCCTCCCACGGTGCCTGGATTATTGGCATGAGCCACTGCGCCCAGCTGAAATGTTTTCCAGGTGTGTTTTTCAGCATCTGCTGATGCCCTTCATACTTCCTTCAGTCTTTCAGTTACCGAATCTAAGTGCTTCATTTTCTTTCCACACCCTCAGCACTCTGGGGGTTTCCACTTCTCTCCTGTTCCTTCGGTGAATGTTCTAGTTATAATTAGTGTTAAACTGAGCACCCTTGGGTGGCTCTTCCATTCAGTCCAGCTTGAGCTGCGCTGCCTAGAAGCCAGGGTGATCCTGGATGTCACAAGGGCTGTGAAGCAACCCTTACGTTACAGGAAGGGGTCCAGATCCAGACCCAAGAGAGGGCTGTCAGATCTCGTGCAACAAGGAATTCAGGGAGAGTCCGGAGAGTGAAAGCAAGTTTACTAAGAAAGTAAGGGAATGCTGGGCGCGGCGGCTCAGCCTGTAATCCTAGCACTTCGGGACGCTGAGGTGGGTGGATCACCTGCGGTCAGGAGTTCAAGACCAGCCTGGCCGTCATGGTGAAACGTCATTTTTAAAAACAAAAATAAATTAAAAAAAAAAAAAAAAGAATAAGGGAATGGCTATGCACAGACAGAATCAGAACAGGACTAGGAAACAGTGTGTAGTGTTACTAGATATTCAAATTTTCAGAGTTTTGGATTTATTGTTGGAGTTGGGGTGTCATTAGAGAAAAATACAAAAAGAGATGGTTAGCAATGCCACTGAAGACATGTTAGGTGAATATATAATGTATAAGCCTGTGTAATGGATAGTTTTTATCCCTCATAAAATTTTCAAATGACTCAGATGTGTGGCCCTCACAGCTGTTCTTCCCTCGCTAATGGC